CCTGTAGTTCTAGATACTCAGGAAGCTGAGGGGTGAGGTTGACTTGAGCCTGGGAGATGAAGGATGCAGTGAGTTGTGACTGTGCCATTGCACTCCAGCATGGGCAACAGAGTGAGATCAGAACCACAACTCTGGGTTCCTGAGCAGTGCTGGGTGGTCTGCCATGAGCCCTTCATGCCCATCCACCCATAGAGGCCACCTGGAACTGAAGGGCACTAAAATTTGTGGCTGCATGAGGGGACGTCACCCACTCAGTGCTCCACTCGCTACCCCTCCCTTCAGTCAGTGGACATTTAGGTCTGTCATCACTGGGATTTTCACTTAACTGCTGATCCCTTTCCTCGCCTGACTTGGTCACTGGCATAGAAACAGGGTAATTACTGGGGTGGGTCAGGCCCTTTTTAATTATCTACCAGAAGATTAGAAACTGAGTTCCAAAACTGAAGATAATTCAACCTTGCAGCTTTGTGGTTATGTTCTAAGTACAATGTATTTTGTTAGTAAGATTTTGATACTTGATTCCAAAACAACCGAGCCTATTGTTTTCCTCATTTAATGAAAACCAAAAGAATAATTCAGCAGGCATTTGCAGCAAATGTGCTACCCTTTTCCAGACCCCTTACTCCCTATCACTCAGATGACAGTAAAAATCCAGATGGGGCTGCAACCCCATCCTTAATATCTACAGCTATAATGGCCTTATTTCTCTTTAACAAAAGGAATAAAAGCTGATCATGGTCTTGGCAGGGATATAATTTTTTATCCTCAGAGAGTCTCTGTTCCTGTGATAGAAAATGGCTGACTCTGCCCTATCTCCAAGGAGCAAATGTGCACATTAGAAAACCACCAGCATAGCTGCCTTCTCTCCGGGAGGCCACCACAGAGAAAACCAAGTTTGGATTGGCAATGAATGGAAAAATACCTCCTATTTGTGGATGTACACATGTAGCCATCCGGGTATGAAATGGAGATGAGGACAGGGGAGGCGTGGAGGAAGCAGCAAAAGGGATGGGGCAAAATGTGTGAGAAGAAGGATCTCTGTCTGTGACTGTGATGCTTTGTGTATACACATGTCACCATGTAGATGTGCCTCTGTGCACGTGGGGGGTTTAGATCTGTAATGAGAGTGTAGGAGAACCAATACAAAGTACAAAGTACAACACTAAATACGTTCTCCGCATAGTCAACAAGAGCACTGCTTCTCAAATTTGGCAGCACCCTGAAATCATCTGGGGAGCTTCAAACACTACTGATGCTTGGACCCCACCCCTGGAGGTTGTGATTTTACTTGGTACAAACTACTGCAGTAGGCCGGGCGCAGTGGCTCATGCCTGTAATCCCAGCACTTTGAGATTCGGAGGCAGGTGGATCACCTGAGGTCAGGAGTTTGAAACCAGCCTGACCAACAGGGTGAAACCCCATCTCTACTAAAAATACAGAGTTAGCTAGGCATGGTGGTGCACACCTGTATCCCAGCTACTTGGGAGGCTGAGGCAAAACTGCTTCAACTTGGGAGGTGGAGGTTGTAGTGAGCCAAGATGGTGCCACTGCACTCCAGCCTGGGCAACAAGAGCAAAACTCCAAAAAAAAAAATTACTGTGGTATATGGAACAATGACCAGATTGCAGTCCCTGGAGTCTGTGAATATGTTAGGTTAAATGGCAAAGGAGCCATTAAGCTTGTAGGTGGAATTGGGGTTGCTTATCAGCTGACCTTAAAATGGGGAAGTGATTCTGGATTATCTGGGTGGACCCAATGTCATCACAAGGGTCCCTCAAAGTAGAAGAAGGAGGAGCCATAAGAGATAGAGGTGATGCCATATGAGAAGGACTCAACCTATGGCTGCTGTCTTTGAAGACGGAGGAAGAGGTCATGTGCCAAGGAATGTGGCTAGGCCTCTCAAAGCAGGAAAACCAAAGATATGAATTCTCCTCTAGAGCTTCCAGAAGGAACACCCACCCTCCCACCCTGCCTTAGTCTTAACCCAGTGTGACTCACATCAAACTTCTGGCCCACAGAACTGTAAGACATAGAGAGAGAGAGAGAGAGAGAGAGAGAGAGAGAGATAGAGAGAGAACGTGTGTTCTGAGACAGAGTCTAGCTCTGTCGCTCAGGCTGGAGTACAGTGGGACAATCTTAGCTCACTGCAACATCTACCTCCTGGGTTCAAGTGATTCTTCCGCCTCAGCCTCCCAAGTAGCTGGAACTACAGGCACCTGCCACCATGCCCAGCTAGAGGTGGAGTTTCACCATATTGGCCAGGCTGGTCTCGAACCCCTGATCTCAAATGATCCACCCACCTCGGCCTCCTGAAGTGCTGGAATTACAGGCGTGAGCCACTGCACCCAGCCTTGTGCTGTTTTAAGCCACTAAGTTGGTGGCAATTTGTTACAACAGCAATAGAAAAGAAACACACTTCAGCCTGAGGAAGGTAATCTTAAAAATCAAATTCAAGAAATGAAAACAACAACAAAAAAGAAAACTAATGCAGGTATGGCATGGGCTCTGGGAGTTTCAAAGCACCATGTGATTCTAATATGCAGCAAAGTATGATAACCACTAAACCAGAGGAAAGACAAGATAAAGACATGCAGTTGTGACTGCCTTATGCTGAACAAAGAAACGGTGATTTTAGAAATGGTGATTTCATCTGGGAAGTTAATAAGTCATCCCACCAAATTATGCACCATCCCCTGTTCTTTTCTTTTCTTTTGAGACGGAGTTTTGCTCTTGTTACCCAGGCTGGAGTGCAATGGCACGATCTCGGCTCACTGCAACCTCCGCCTCCTGGGTTCAAGCAATTCTCCTGTTTCAGCCTCCTGAGTAGCTGGGATTACAGGCACGTGCCACCAAGCCCAGCTAATTTTTTGTATTTTTTTAGTAGAGACGAGGTTTCACCATGCTGGCCAGGCAGGTCTCAATCTCCTGACCTCGTGATCCCCCCGCCTTGGCCTCCCAAAGTGCTGGGATTACAGAAGTAAGCTACTGTGCCCAGCCTGTACCATCACTTCTTAGCCATCCACCCACAGACACTGCGGCTTACCTCCATATATAACACAGTACATGATAATGAATTTTGTGGCTAGAGTCCTTTCTAGTATGACCCATTGAATAGGGTAAATTTCCTTGGATGAAGAACAATTATATACCAGACAGGCGGATTTTCTATAAAGCTTACTTTCTTACCAATATTATCGCTTAAGGAAGGAACTGACCAATAACTGAATCATATGCAAATATATAAATTGGCCTGTGCATGTTGGTACCATCAGGAAAAGAACTAACTTGTCCTCTCTGTGCTGAAACTATTAGAATTGTAAAGAGAGAAGGCCTCTCCCTTGGGTTTAGTAATTTATTTATTTATGATAGATGATAAACAGATGGAATTGATCTATGACAGATAAATGGAACAGCACTGTGGGAACAAATTAACTCATTCTTCCCAGGGATGGAAAACAGAAGTGCCAGCTGCAGGATTCTGACAAGTACAGCCCTCTCTTCAGAGTGGGTGTTCATCCATCGCCAGGGCTTTGATGCTTGCTCATACATGATGATTACTTTTCTTTCAAGATGGAGTGTTGCTCTGTCACCCAGGCTGGAGTGCAACGGTACCATTTCTGCTCCCCGAAACATCCACCACCTGGGTTCTAGCAATTCTCCTGCCTCAGCCTCTCGAGTAGCTGGGATTACAGACATGTGCCACCACGCCTGGCTAATTTTTTGTATTTTTAGTAGAGATGGGGTTTCATCATGTTGACCAGGCTGGTCTCAAACTCCCGACCTTGTGATCCGCCCATCTCAGCCTCCTAAAGTGCTGGCATGAGTCACCACGCCCGGCCAATAACTTTTCTTGAAAGCCATTCCATCATGGTACTGTCTTAGAATCTTTTACATTTTCTTTTTCTCTTCCTACTTTGTCTTCTTTAGAGAGGAAGCTTGTTTAGCAGCAAAAACAGTCACATTAGAATCAGAAGACCTGAGCTTGGATTTAGCTCTGTCACTCATAAATGATGTGGCCTCAGGGGGCCTCAGAGCCACTACTCTAAGTTTTGCCTCTCACATACGAGGAGGGGGCCACCTTAGTGATGTTGTGTGGAGATTAAATGAAATCACATAGATGAAATGGCTTAGCACATAGAGGAGGCTTTCCATAAATGCCAGCTTCACTGCCACTGAATGACTCCACACTGTCAGGCATCACCTATACTCTGCAGCTGCTCCCGTCTCTTCTCTTTGGCTCTGCCCTCTCCCTGAGCTCCGGTACCATGTCTCCTACTGTCAACTGGACACTTCCACTCAGTTCAGTGGCATCTCTAACTAGACAAATGCAAACTGAACTTACCATCTCACTCCCAAACCAGTGTCTCCTCTCAATTTCCCTGACTTTGCCCTTAGCAGTAAAATCACTGGCAATCCTGTGCACCCATATTTCTTCCCCATTCCTTCTCCTATAACCCATCCAGGCCCTCCTCAGGCACAAAAACCTTGCAGATGCCTCCACATTTTAAACTCTCTCCCATCCATCCTGCTTGTAGTTGGCAAATTCATCTTTTTCCAACCAGACTTGTCACGTTAAACCCTGAACAAAGATCTTCAAACACTTTTTTGCCCTGAAGCCTGGTACATAGGATCGAAGAACAGCAAACTCCACCGGGTGTGGAGATGACACAAGACTTACACAGCCTCAGTGTAGAAAGTGTTGAGCAATTTCATATCACTGCCACAGAGAACAAGAGCTCTTGGGATTAATAGATCATACAACGCAGTATTGTTCAAAGTAGCTACTGAGAACTGAAAAATTTCTAACCAATTTTCTTTGCATGGTATTCAATAACTACAATCTAAATCTCCCACAACCCTCCTCCAATGCATTAAACTGTATCAATCATTGACATTAAACCACTTTACCTGTTGTATAACATTGAAGTCATTCGACAAATACTCAAACCTTTAGTATTTATGACAATGGCAAATCTAGTCAATCCCAGAGTTATTCTTACCATTTTGTTCATCCAATTCATTCCCAATTTCCTGCCCCATTTGCTTTTGGCGACTTATAATAGAGGAAAGGGCATCAAGGCCTGCGTCCTGTTCTGAAAGAAAAAAGAAAAACAATTAACTAGAAACTAGAAGAAAACAACTTAAAGTCCACAAGCATACCCAGGCATGTAACACAACTTAATAAAAGACAAAAGCAACATTTTAAATCAGTCAGGAAAAAAGAAAGTAGTTAACATTATTGGAACAAAATTTAAAAATTAAACACCTACCTCACACCTTAAACTAAAATGATTTCCAAAAGAATTAAGATTTTAAGTATGAAAAATAAAATAAGATTTGGAAACATAAACATTTAAACTTTCTGATACTTAATATATAAAGAGCATGTACAAATCAATATGAAAAAGACTGAATATCCCATTTTTTTAAATCAGCAGAGGATACAGGCAAGAACTTCACAATAAAAAAGAAAAAAAAGTTTTGACATCACTACTAATTTTTTAAAAATACAAATAAAAAACTACTTTTTTTGGTTTATCAGATTTATAAGGATTAAAAAGAATGACAGTATCTAAGGTTAGTTAAATTGTGAAGATCTAGAAGCTCCCAAGTACTATGTAATAGAAGAATAAGCTTTACTGATGGCAATATTTCTCAAGTGCCCAACTTTTTACCTGCCAATCCTAAGTCTAGGAATGTATGTAAGAAAACACTCAGACAGCATGCAATGATGGATATATAAGGATATTCCCTGAAACATTTTTTTTGTGTGTGTGCCAGGTATCAATTTAGTGCCTCTCAGTTCTAAATTCACTGTTTTTGGCTGTTCTATGAAAATGAACCAGCTTGGTACAGTGGTTCATGCCTGTAATCCCAGCCACTTTGGGAAGCAAGGTGGAAGTTCACCTGAAGCCAGGCGTTCAAAACCATCCTGAGTAAAAAAGCAAGATCTCTCCTCTAGAAAATTTTCTTAAAACAATTAGCCAGGCATGGTGGCATGCACCTATAGTGCCAGCTACTTGGGAGGTTAAGGTGAGAGGATCAGTTGATCATCCAGGAGGTCGAGGCTGCAGTGAGCCATGATCATGCCACTGCACCCTAGCCTGGGTAATACAGAGAGACTCCGTCTCTAAATAAAAAATAAAAATAATTTTTAAAAAATTGTTAAAAAAATAAACCAGCTAGGTACAGTGGCTCATGCCTGTAATCTCAGCACTTTGGGAGGCTGAGGCGGGTAGATCACGAGGTCAAGAGATAGAGACCAGCCTGGCTAACACGGTGAAACCCCATATTTACTAAAAATATAAAAAATTAGCCAGGCATGGCAGCATGTACCTGTATTCCCAGCTACTCAGGAGGCTGAGGCAGAAGAATCGCATGAACCCAGGAGGTGGAGGTTGCAGTGAGCCAAGATCGCGCCACTGCACTCCAGCCTGGGCGAGAGAGCGAGACTCCATCTCAAAAAAAAAAAAGAAAAGAAAGAAAGAAAATGAACCAAGGTCCCTTGAATATTTTTTCCTTTGCCAGGGTTTTTGCTTACTGGCTCCAGCCTGCTCTCTTGGCAGGATCCTTTAGCACATGCAGTTCCTTCAGTGCCTGGCCCCTTCAGGGCACAGTGGCCAGCAGCACCCAGAACCGGCAGCCTCTCCCAACACCCGCTCCTTGGAGAGGTTAATAACAAGAGTGCTGCCCAGGAGGTTCTTCCCCATGAACAGTTTCCCCCAGCATTCCAGAGGGCAGATCTCCAGCAGGTTTTGACCAAGGGCACCACAGGGGCTTCTCGGAAATTTGGGGAATCTCAGCTGAGCCCTCTCTCAGCCCTGGGGACAGGGGACTCCTCCCTAGACACTCTATCTCAGCCTGAGACTTAGAGATTGCACCTTAGTGGCATGATCTTGGCTCATTGCAGCCTCTGTCTCCTGAGTTCAAGTGATTCCCCTGCTTCAGTCTCTAGAGTACCTGGGACTACAGGTATGCACCACCACGCTTGGCAAATTTTTTGTATTTTAGTAGAGACGGGATTTCACCAAGTTGGCAAGGATGGTCTCGATCTCATGACCTCATGATCCGCCCACTTTGACCTCCCAAAGTGCTGGGATTACAGTTATGAGCAAGCCACTGCGCCTAGCCTTATTTCTGTTGAGAGTTCTTTTTACATCTTGTCAGCTAATCCCTCATTACTCTAATCCCTTTTATAGTTAATAATTTATATTCAACTTTCCCTGTCAAATTTCTGTCTCCTGATCAGACCCAGAGTGATATATTTGTAATAGTGAAAAATTAGAACGTACCTAAATGCCCAAACATAGAGATTTGTTTAAAAATTTATAGTATATCCATAGAGTAAAACACTATATAGCCACTCAATCACATTGTTTGTGTATATTTATTGTTGAAAGAAGTTCATGATATGTTCTTAAGTTAAAAAGTCAGAGGCTGGGTGCAGTGGCTCATGCCTGTAATCCCTGCACTTTGGGACGATGAAGCGGGCAGATCACTTGAGCCCAGGAGTTCGAGACCAGACTGGGCAACATGGCAAAACCCTGTCTCTACTAAAAAAACAAAAATTATCTGGGTGTGGGGGTGCATGCCTGTAGTCCCAGCTACTCAGAGGTGGATGGATCATTTGAGCCTGGGAGGCAGAGGTTACAGTGAGCCAAGATGCCGCCACTGCACTCCATCCTGAGTAACAGCACAGAGTGAGATCCTGTCTCAAAAAAAAGGCAGGATACAAAACAAAGTATAGTAAAACAGCTTTTGTTTAAAAATGAAAATGTATTACTTTGAAACTTTTTTGCAAATGTCAAAAGCAAAGTAAGTTTTTGGAAATTTAGAGAAAAAAGTAAGTTAAACTCAAGTTACTCAAGATTCTTTCTTTAAAATTTAATATGTATTTTTTAAACGAGACAGTCTCAGTCATCTGTTTGTCAAAACTTCTTCCTCTACTTTTGTTCTCTGCTTTGAGAACACTGTGAAGTTGAGTGAAATGACTCTTGTTCACCACACGACACACCACATGAAGGTAACATTATACCCCTCACAGCTTCATTTGTCTACAGGGTTTTTGAAATGACTGTTTCACATAAAGGCATATCTACAAAAGCAGAGATCACAAAGGTCTTACTTGAGGTCGCATTAACATTTACTTATATTTTTTCCAGGTCTTTTAATGGAATTAAACCATTAAACTTAGCTCTTTAATTCATCTGGAATTTATTTAAACTAACAGTGTGAGGTAAGAACCCCTTTGTGATATTGTTTGACACTCTGTACTTTTTTTTTAAACTATAAAAATGACCTGCAGTCTTTAGGGATCATTCGAAAGGACCATTTTATAGTAAAATCACTTTATAATGAGGTCCTCTTGGTCTTCAATAACAACCTCTTGGATGGCCTCCAAGATAAATCCATATTCAACCAAGTGCTCCTATAGGATGACTGATGTTATAGTAAAATTCTAAATGCATCTGATGAATAATCTATACATACAGGACTGAGGGTCAAGTGTCAATGTGGATTAAAAGATAAAACCATTTAAAAAGAGGAAAGGAGATTCCTCCACAGTTTCCATTAGGAAAAGAGTCAGTAAACTCGTAAAATTACTTTATCTAATAGAGACAGAGAGTATGAATGAAAATACACTAATTATACTCTTTATTCCCAAACTTGACTAATTCTCTGATTTAGCAACCTGAAGATCATCCAATGCACAAGAGAAAGACAGCTAAGAGTTCTGCTCCACTTTAATAATGTTTTTAATCTTAGCAATTTTTTCCACATCTTTAAGTGCTGCAATAAATTTTCATTTCACAATCCAAAGACAAGGAAGATTCAGATAATCAAGATGCTATGGAGGTAATAATAATCACATTCACATAACCTGGGCTTCCCCAAGTCCTGAAGTCCTGAGGCATTTCTTTTATTTATTTATTTATTTTTGTTTTTGAGACAGTTTCACTCTTGTCACTGAGGCTAGAGTGTAATGGTATGATCTCAGCTCATTGCAGCCTCCACCTCCTGGGTTCAAGCAATTCTCCTGCTTCAGCCTCCCGAGTAGCTGGGACTACAGGCATGTGCTAATTTTTGTATTTTTAGTAGAGACACTCAGACACTCAGCTAATTTTTGTATTTTTAGTAGAGACAAGGTTTTACCATGTTGATCAGGATGGTCTCAATTTCTTGACCTCATGATCTGCCCACCTCTGCCTCCCAAAGTGCTGGGATTACAGGTGTGAGTCACCATGCCCAGCTAATTTTTGTATTTTTAGGAGAGACGAGGTTTTGCCATGTTGGCCAGGCTGGTCTCAAACTCCTGACCTCAGGTGATCCACCCGCCTGGGCCTCCAAAAGTGTTTGGATTACAGATGTGAGCCACCACGCCCAGACACCATGTAGTTTCTTACCAAGGAAACTACCATCATATCATAAGTGGTAAAATCTCTCCTACTCTTTCCCATAACCCAAGTCATTTCATTATGATATCACAAGAGGGCAATTGTAACATACTATTAGTGGTAACACACTATTAGTCATTCTTCTATTTTACAATGATTTGAATTTTGAAAAATGGATGGACCATTACCGTAGATAGAATAATATCCCCCATGTCTAAGATATCTACATCCTAATCCCAGAAACCTATGAATATGATTCCCTTACATGGCAAAAGGGACTTTGCAGATGGATTAAGGTCAAAGAGTCAGAGATGGGAGATTAGCCTGGATTCTGGATTATCCAGGTGGACCCAGTATAATCATGTGAGTCCTGAAAAGCAGAGAACTTTCCGAGCTGCCATTCAGAGAGAGTATGAAGAAGGGTCAGAGAGATATTAACTTGCTGGCTTTAAGATGGAAGAAGGGAAGGGATTTGGGTGGCCTTCAGAAGCTGGAAAAAGTAAGGGAGCAAATTCTCCAGAATGAGCCTCCAGAAAGGAATGCAGCCCTACTAACGGCTTGATCTAAGCCCTGCGGGACTTGCACTGGACTTCTCACCTGCAGAACTGTAAGATCATAAATGTATTTTAAGTCGCTAAGTTTGTGCTAATTTATTAAAGCAGCAATAGAAAACTAATACAATCATTTTTTTAAAATCC